AAGCTGAATTGATGTCCTAACAATCATATAACGCGAAGGAGCTTGGGATTGAACCCATGGTCTTCTGCTCAGTAAGCAAAACAGTTTGCCACTAGGCAGACGAGCTCCTTTTTAATCATCGAGTTGCTGTTATTACCATGTAGTCATGTTAACAAATAAAACAATTGACGAATCTTGAATGTGGATGAGCTTGAGATTACACTCATGATGTTCTGCTCAGTAAGCAAAACCGGTTGCTCTAAGGCCACCGAGCCCCTCATATCACATTATAGCGTTACTCAAGTTTTTATAACTATTCAAACCCGGCACCGACGACAACGAAAAGTTTTACAAAATACACGATAAACAAGTGATCTCACCGTACATTTTTAATATGAAAGGACCTGGGACCGCGTTTTTCTGCTCAGTAAGCAAGCCACTGCAACCGAGGATCTTTGGAATCCTAAAGCTAAAAGCTACGAAAGAGTACTTAGGCCTTCATTAAGATCCACTTTCACGCAACGTTCAATGTTTCGATTTTCTCTTTATGCATGGTTCAGGCAATCATAACAAGCTATGACTGACGTGACGATTGTTTAAGACCTGGTTAAACAAGCTATTCAAATGAAATTACGTTCTCGAATTTCACTTGGCATGTAATGAACAACAGAAATACGCGATAATTCATATTTTCAGCGGTTGATAGTTAATTTTAAATATACTAACGGTACTGCCTGCGACTACGACGGCGATTACGACAGCGACTACGACGGCGATTACGACAGCGACAGCAGCGAATTTGTAACTTACCATATGTCTAGGATAAACACCTTTGCCCGGCACCTCCACTGGTTCTTCATGTCCGCTATCTGTCACTGCTTGCAAAATATCTAATAGTAATTACCTTTGTTGTAATACTTTCTGTATTGTCATGGCCATCTGGGAGGAGGTTTGCATCTAGTGCTTTCCCCAGGAACCGTTTCCGGCCACCAGCTACCGCCCGTCCAGTCTTGGGCGTATCCAGCGAGACATCCTTCAGCTTACTCACAATCTCCGACACTCAATGCAAATCGCAGGCACACTTACGCTAGTTACAAAAAAAAAACACACCCGTGCAAAGAAACGGATCCAATAAACGTCACTCTCGCGAAAGCACACCCGTTGTCGTCGAACGGCAAAAAAAAAGGAATCGGTGGGCAATTTTGTGATACGGATTTCCACAATCAACCGGGAATGCACGAATTTCACCACACCCAACTGCGAAACACGTTCAGAAGCACTTTTGGTACACTTTCGTTCGAAAACACTTAATTTTTTTCTAAAATAGTTGCGAGTGAACCAACATCATCACCGCGTAAATAAACTAAAATTAAAATTATAACTCGCGATGCCACAAATTTCTGGACCGGGAGAAAAAATCAAACAACGCATATAGCGTTAAATCTTCTGTTGCTTGCAAACATGAAGAACCATGTTTTCTTTCTCGATTCTAAAACTTCTCGGAAAGCGAGAAAACCACCACTCACACACGTATAACCGTCCGGAAGGCAGAGATCCAGCACTAATCCGGCAAATGCAGCCGAAAACTATGAAAGCGAATGCACGCACAAAACAGAGAACAAACTTAAAACACAACCGCATCCAAAGGCGTTCGATACTCGACTCTCCAGTCGACTAAATTTTCAATAGCGACCACAAATATCCATTAGTACCGTCCCAATGACGCGTTTTTTAGCGATGGGCCAAATCTTAGATCGATAGGCCAACATTAGAGCCATGTCCCCTATATGAATATCAAATGTCATACTTGATTAGCTGGCGTATATAAGAAACACTTGAGGCAGAACTTCGAATATCAGTGGTCCCTTTACGATGTCAATGTCATTTGCGCATTGACATTTAGGCAAATGATATTGATATTCTAACTATGTGAACTGACATCAGGTGGCTAGTGAAATTCAGCATTTTGTGGGTATTGATATTGATATTTTGCAGCACTGGTGATTTTTGAAACTTCTGCAATCGTTTTTTTTTCAGACTCTAGAACGTCATGTTTTCCAGATCTAATTAGTCAACGCATTGCCGGCGTCCACTGCATAACAGTCCCATGTAAATAAGCATTGCATAGTACATGAGAGTCATGAGACTGTTATGCGAATAGCGATAGTTGATATATTATAAACGACGGATTTCACGCCAACTCGTCTTCGGAGTTGGCAGCACCCTCTCAGAACCTTATGAAACTTTGTGGGTGTGGAGACTTAGCAATTTTAAGCAACTTTGAGTACTTATTTTTTTCAAAATTTATCTCGCCTAACATTTGATAAGGGTCAAAGTTTTTTGTCGATTTTTTTTTCAAATCGATATAGCTTAAAAATGACAAGCCCTACAAAATAGTGATGTATGGCGAACTTTTAGCAAATAATCTGAAATTTTATAAAAAAATTTAAATAAATTAAAAAATTGGTTTCTACACTCTAAAAAAATATATTTAAAAATTAAAAGTAATTTTCCCAAAAATGGTACCCCTCAGATTTGCTTGATATTTTTTCTCATGAAAGGCAATATAATTACCTAACTTTTCTTCATACATCGCAAAGTGGGCGCTTTTAAGGAAAAAAAGTTGTTCGAACAACAACTTTTTCATGTTAATTTTTTTTTAGCGTGTTTCACTCAAAGTCGAATAGTAATACGCGCACAACCTTATTAAAATCCGTTGAAACTTAATGAGCATAAAGATTTTGACCTTTTGATAATCTGGGCGTGCTTAAAACAAAAATCTAGCCTAACATTTGAAAGGGCCTAATACAGAGGATTTTCCTGCATTTCGAATGGTGTTTTAATAAATGAAAACTCTAGTGTTTTTGTTTAGTGCATAATTTATTTTCCTATAATTCTCCATACATAATTTGAGTTTTTCATTGATTATTAGTCTATCGGAAACAGAGTGAAATTTTTCGGAGTTTCCTTTGAATGTGAAAATCGCTTAGTAGAAATTATGTTTTGAGAAATAGGTACAAAACAATGAAATTTTTGTGTACCAGGTATAGTTTTTACATGACTGAACAGCTCCTTGAGTTCATCGGACATCTTTGTGTATTGATCATTTGAAATGAAGCAGAAGTTCAATTTTGTTATGCTTGTATCTGTTTGTTTAACTGCCCAGTCATACAGTTCTTGTGGAGTTGTGATTGTGTTTCCATAATCTCCATAATCTCCATAATCTCCATAATTTTCCCCATGTTTGTGGAGCACGAGCTGCATAAACCGCATATCGTACAGTCGTGAAAATTTGATAGATTGTTCACCGAGGTTGGCCTACCAATCGATCAAATTTGTACGATAAGCGGTTCATCCAGCTCGTGCTCTAAAAAAATGTTGAAAATGAAGTTGTATCTTCGATGTACAATCCTTAAACCACACAGTTGAAACAGTTAAAGTTATTATTATTTACCTAGTGTATCATCAAATTCCTGATGTTCTGATTGCTGATGACTTGTTGATGGTTGCGGCTCTTCAAACTTCCGAGCATGGCTTGATTCTTTTCCATCCGATCGCCTCTTTTTCGGGAGAGGTGTCCTATTGTGCACTAAAATTCCACGACACGATTCACAAATACGCATTGTTACATCCAATTGATGATCAAAGCCCCATGAATGTATTTTCTCTATGAGACTTGATGATAAATTACGTAAATTATTGCGGCTGCAATTGGGATTGTTTATGTTGGCACTACATTGCACCCTTTTAATAATCAATTCAGCAGATTTTTCCATTGTTGTATATATAAACACTTTTTCGTTTCAACAACTATGCAGCACTACACTTTCAACAACTATGCACTACAGCAACTATGAGCATTGTTGTGATATCACCAAACTTAAATATTAGATTATGTCGGTAGAAACAGACTGCGGTGCTTTAAGTTTATACCTTATATCTCTCATGTGACTACCTGCGTTGTTATATAACTGCTATATAGCAGGTAACTTAACGATTATTTTAGGCATGCCTTAAATAATCGTTAAGCTACCTGCGCTATTATATGTATTCACTTGAGAGATGAGGTATAAACATATATGCATATTGCTTACTAATGGACACACCTAATACATAAAAATAAATGAATGATTATTTTTCTAATTAAATTAATCACAAATACATGAATTGAAATCTTTTCATGAATAAAACATACTAAGTGATTTTGTTGATTTGGAACAATTTGAGGGTGGTTTTATAGAAGTTGGATAGAGTGTATGCATATATTATAATACAATCCATCACAGGAAAGTGCAAACCATGCTGAGATGGCTGTTCCTCATTAGAACGTTTTGTTCTGAACTCTTATTGGACGATTTGCAGGTAACTTCTCTGTACCCTTTTCAAATGTTAGGCTAGATTTCGCCCAGATTATCGAAAAGTATACCCATAAAGTTTAATCGAATTTTAATAAGGTTGTGCGCGTATTACTATTCGACTTTCAGTGAAACACGCTAGAAAAAAATTAACATGAAAAAGTTGTTGTTCGAACAACTTTTTTTCCTTAAAAGCGCCCACTTTGCAATGTATGAAGAAAAGTTAGGTAATTATATTGCCTTTCATGAGAAAAAATATCAAGCAAATCTGAGGGGTACCATTTTTGGGAAAATGACTTTTAATTTTTAAATATATTTTTTTAGAGTGTAGAAACCGATTTTTTATTTTATTAAATAAAAAAATTTCAGATTATTTGCTAAAAGTTCGCCATACATCACTTTTTTGTAGGGCTTGTCATTTTTAAGCTATATCGATTTGAAAAAAAAATCGACAAAAAACTTTGACCCTTATCAAATGTTAGGCGAGATAAATTTTGAAAAAAATAAGTACGCAAAGTTGCTTAAAATTGCTAAGTCTCCACACCCACAAAGTTCCATAAGGTTCTGAGAGGGTGCTGCCAACCACTGGATGAGTTGGCGTGAAATCCGTCAAACGCATTGTCCCAACAAAACGGTGAAACTCATCCTTCTCTCAATTGTTCACAGCACCTTCTCACAGCGCGCAAGATGTGATTCAACAATACAGGGAACTCCTTAGTGTGTAAGGGATCAATGTAGCAACTACATTTAAAGCAAATTCACAAGGTGGCCATATAAAGTTTATAGTCAAGAAAAAAGAAGAATAGCTATATATTTTTATCATCGTTAGTTTTTTCCAATCAAAATTTTTATCGAATAAGTTCTAAGCCAAAAAAAAAAGAAGTAAAATGAACGAGCGTCGCAGTGACTTTGTGATCAAGGCCGGCTACATGATCAAGCGATCGCAAAACAAGAAACGCTTCACCCCAGTCAACTACAAGATGCGCTGGTTCGAGTTGACCCGGTTCTATCTGTCCTATTACGATATCGGCAATCTTGAGGTAAGTGCGTTTCTCTTTCTCTGTGTTGTGTGTGTGTGTGTGTGTTTGTGTGGTAATGATCATCCGATAGCAAACCATTTTCCGATGACACCGCCGAGTTGTGCGTGAGCGATATCTAACAAAAGCGTGTTAACAAAGTCCATTCGATCGATTAACCTATCATCAACACACACTCTACACAGAACTCCATCCACACGCTGAACAAGACATCGTCAAATCGTGCGCCAATAATAACTCATCAATAATGCTGGAAACATCATCACATTAACATGCGTCTGACCCTTCGTTCGGACAATACCAGTACTAACGCTCGGCCTTAGCGTTGTAGCATCACCAATCACGATGGTTCTTTTTTTCGGAAAAGCATTAAGACTTTTAGACTACCATCATCAATCATCCGGTAATAATTGTGCGTGCGTTTGTGTATGTTTGTATCGTAAGTTGATGTTGCATTTCGTTTCTACAGTAGGGAATTTGATAATCAGAATTATCCGGAGGATATCGGAGCCAGGACCAAGGATGGAAAATTTCATTCACTTGCATTCTTCTTGCCGACTGTATGCTTTGCTTTGACGTTTCTCTTTCGATCATTCCCAGTCGCATAAAAACTCTCCCAATGCACTCTGTACATTGTTTATACCGATGAATTCATGAATCAGCAAATGAAGCGATTGAATGACTCTAAAAAATTGACATACGCTATATCCACATTCATTAAGAATCAGTTGAGTCATAGTATTGCTTTCTAAAAAATCATTCGTGAATCAAATTTCTGAATCTATATGAATGCAAGATTGCGTTCATGAATTTGTGTGTAGAATTGAATAGAAGTCAACTGGCAAATGCTATTATTCTGTGCTTGTAGCTGTTAGGCTTATTTAGCAAGTTTTTTTTTTGGTCCGTAACAAAGTTTTCTAGATGCACTTCTTATCGGTCTTCTAGATTTTTTACGCATCTGTAGGGAGCGCATTGCGAACTCTCAACATACTGTTTTAGATGCACTTCCACAGTTATTAATTTAGAGCTTTCTATGCAAACCACAAGCACAATGATACTCTAGGGAAGTCGAGGAAATTTACAACTCGACAGATTCCTTCGACCGAACCCGCTGCCTCCGGCTTTCTAATATCGTGCCTTTACTGACGAGGTTATCTGAGACCCCTGCGAGACGTAAATACTGGAAATCGTTAATTTCGCGGTATCAAGACATGAGGGATGCTTGAGAAACTGTTTTGATAACAAAACAGGGTTCAATGGAGTGAAGGGAGCTTGGGACGATGGCTACATTCAATTATCCCTAAGGTGTCGAAGTTTGCATGGTTCAAAGGGTTTAACTTGAGTCGAGACTTCATACGTGTGATGTCTCGTCTCATGTCCAATCACTATTGTCTAAACGCTCGGGGTTGGGAGACAGCAATCTCTGTGAATGTGGATAAGGTTACCAGGACGCTGATCACATCCTTTGGTCTTGTGTGGAGTATCGTGGAGTCAGATCACATTTTTATGATTCCCTTCGGGCTCGAGGTAGACAACCTAATGTTCCAGTTCGGGATATTTTGGCTAGACGCGATCTGGAGTTTATGAAACTTATATATGTTTACTTTAAGGATATTAACCTTAGATTGTAAGTTTGATTAACCTTGTGTTTAGTTTGTGTTGAAAAAAAAACCCCAGACGTACAGTTTTTTTCAATGTTTGTTTTCAAGATGAATAGAAATAATTTCATGCTTTAGGATTAATTAAATAGTTGTATCGTAAACCACATTTAAAACCTCCTTCTTCCCTTTTCCCATCCAAAAAATTGTAAATCTCCACTAACCTCGAGACGACCGCGAGTCCAGTTCCTTTAACTTTAAATATAAGACAGTAATAATGTATAACGCAAAGGATAACTCGGCTCTGTAAAGTTTATTCGATTGAGCCTGTACAAATAAAGTAATTACAAAAAAAACAAAACAGGGTAAGTGTGCAACTTATGGTACTAAAGCTTCAGTGTTTCGTAGGGTTAAATCAAATTTGAAATAAATTATCATGAATTCTATTGCGTACGCACTACAAAAAAGTCTTTTAAATTTCCAGGGCTGTTACAACAGGCGCGGATTCCGCGAATTTCGCGGATTTCGCGATTTTCGCGGATTTGTCGCGGATTTAAACTTTCAGTCGCGAAAATCGCGAAAACATTAAATGATGAAGGGACGATGAAATCGTGAAGGGACTGATGTGCTGTCACAAAAATTGTGGAATTCAATGTAACATTTCCGTTCCGGATTATAATTCCCTGAGGCCTGTCCAATGTGAGACATTCTCTTTTTTTCCAATATGAACATAGCAATTTTCGTTGTCAAATCATAAATGAATCGTTCAGTTGATTTGTTCTACTACATCAACCAAGACTCCAATAATGTCTGTAGTATCGAAATATGTCCAAACAGATTAAAAATGTCTATGTGGATTGTAGCCGACCTATTGCTACGTATATAAGATGTTATAGGTTCTGAAATCATTCTGGAGATCAGATTATTTTTCTACTAGATCACCCAAGACTAATCCAATATCTGTAGTATCGAAATATGCCCAAACAAATTTGCAGTGTCTATGTGGATCATGCCAACCTACTTTCGTGTATGCCAAATGTTCTAGGATTTCCAAATCGATATTTCGATACTACGGATATTATCCTAGTCTTTGCTGATCTAGTAAAACAAATCATCTGAACTGCAGGACGATTTGGAGAACCTAGTTCATCTGGTAAACGTGGAAATAATTAAACATTATCCATATAGACACTATGAATCTGTTTGGACATATTTCGATACTACTGACTTTATCCCAGTCCATGGTTGATCTAGTAGAATAAATCATCTGAACTCCAGAACGATTTGGAGAACCTAAAACATCTGGTATACATGACAAAAGTTCATGCATGATCCACATAGACTCTGTGCATCTGTCTGGAAATATTTCGATACTAAAGACATTGTCCCAATCTCGGTTGATCTAGTAGATCAAATTATCTGAACTCCAGGACAATTTGAAAAACTTACAACATCTGGATTACTCGGAAATATATCATGCATAATCCACGTAGACAATTTGAATCTGATTGTACATTTTTCGATACTACAGACATTGCAGTCTTGGTTGATCTAGTAGAACAAATCAACTGATGTCCTGGACGATTCGGAAAACCTATAATTTCCGGTATAGGTACATAGTAATAAGTCGTACATGATCCACAAAGTCACATATATACGATTCGAATATGATTTGACACCGAAAAGTGCTAGGTTCGTATTAGAAATAAAAAAAAATATGAAAATGTCTCACCATTGGACAGAACCCAAGGAATATTCGTGTAAATACACAACCGCGACGTGACCAACAAGTGTGACTTATGAATCTTTGGTAATTTCTCGATTATGTGCAGGGTGTTTGGTTTGAATTGGAAAAAAAAAATTGAGAAAACTAGAGCCAAATTAACTACAACATTTAGGACAGCAAAATACGTCAGAGACGCAAAGGTTAATTTTCAAGAAAATTTGCATTTCAAATGAAAATGCTTTAATTAAAAAAAAAAAAAAAAATTGTTTCATCAAATCTAGGCCGATATTATTCAATAGAATCTCATAATGTAAGGGTGTTTTATTACTTTCACTACGGACATGAATGCATCGCGGAGATGTAAAATGTCCTTAATAAACAAACAAACAAACAAACATTACTTTCACTAATTACTCAGAATTTAAACTATACCTAAATAACTGAAGATGATACAATGCTATTAAAAAAATTTAAAAGTTACAAAAGGCGCAGCTACAAAGCAACTCCATGCTGGAGGCGACTGAGTTCGATTCCCGTCCGGTCTATTAATTTTTCGGGTTGGAAAATTTCTCTACTTTCTTGGGCATAGGATGGTACAGGCATAGAAAGCTCTCAATTAAAATGTGAAAGTACTTTAAAGAACACTAAGTTGAGAGTTGGCAAAAATCTAATATGCTATAAGCAATAAGCTTGTAATGCTATTTTTCGGCAATGAAAACAGTTTTTTTGTCGCGGATTAGTACTTGAAGTCGCGGATTTCTTTTGAGAAATCCCGGATTTCGCGGATCAAATTTAGAATATCTTGTTACAGCCCTGAATTTCGTTTCCCTGAGACCGACACATGTAAGCGGCTCTTTTGACGTAAGAATCAGCTGAAAGGAACAAAAAAATCAATTCAATCAAACGTTCTCTTCGTTGAGTAGCTTATGTTTCGGTTTGAGAACACTTAATTTTTCATTGAATGGTAAAAATTGATATTTCTTAGTGTGTAGGTAAAGGTAACATATTTGTTCCAAACTTGTATCGATATAAATTTAGAAAATAATGAACTAGCAAAACTGGATCTCTTTTCCTATTACATTTGTTACTCATTCGTATTCTCCTAAATTGATTTCTTCAGGAATAATGTTACGTAATGTACATACAAACTTTTATACGTCAATCTGAAATATGCAAATATGTTTTATTTTAGAAGAGCTACCGATGAAAAATAACCTTATCCTCACAATTCCGGCTCAACCTTGATACCGCAACTATAGGTACACCCAGGGCTGTCTTGCATCAACGTAGAGAGAGCAAAGTCAGTGATGAAAAATATTGTATTACTATATTCTTCGCACTCCAAGCAGCGCATGACAAATTCCGTATGAAGACAGTCCTCTTTCATTTACGCCGTGAAAAAAAAAACTAGCTCAGTACGTTCTCTCTCTCTTAGATCGGTCGGTTACTCGGAGAGGATTAAAAACTGTACGTTTTAGTCAGCCGTTCCGTATTGTTTGACAAAAAATGATGATCGTTGGAAGCAACACAAAAAACTTAAAATGGGTGCAAAACGGATTCGAACCACCAACGTTGATATTAACAGGCTTGTGTCTTCACTACTGGTCTATCAACGCTTAGGAGAATGGATAGGCTAAAGGAAAACAAGAAGCGCTCATAGTGTGGTTACTAGTCTGCGC